CAATGAATTGAATGAGTTCAGTTTAACTTCGTGTCTTGCTTTATAAAACATAAGAATGAATGTACAATGATAAATAAGCTTACATTGACCGGAGAATCTGTATTAAATCTCCCAAATTACAAAACTAAAAACGTGAAGTTTTTGGTATTTTCTTGTTTTGAACCTCTTGGAGAGCTGAACTGTTGATAAAGAGACTTTAAGTTTTTTTGGTGTGAGTGCTTTCTCTTTTATCTCGCGTACACGACTTTCTGTGAATCTGAAGAAAAAAATAAGATGTGCCAATGGTTAAAGAGAGGCTTAACTCCAGCAGAAGCCGTTGTTTTGTCATGGCAAGATTTAATTGCTTGCCTACTGGCAATTTCCTTGCTGAGGTTGTCACTTGCCTTGCTTGGGCTATAATCTGCAGCTTGTGGGTTTTTGCTTTCTCTTTTGACCTGGCTCACCTGTGTGATGCCAAATTCAAAATCAATTCACTATTTCAAACAATGTTTGCCTAATTTTAGACATTTGAGCTGAAACACCATGTGGAAGCAACATGCAGTCAACAAGTTCAGTGCTCCAAGAGTGGAATGAAAAAGAGAAAAAGCAGACAAAGGAAGAATCGCATTAATAGAAAAAACCTCTCAACTTTTTTGCAATCCAGTGCAGCCAAAATAGTTAACGAAAAAGTAATTGAACTTGAGAATAACTGCAAGAGTGCCAAGCAAGTAGCAAATGGCTACTTTTATAAATGGAAAAAAACAAAAGAGAAAAATAGTAGACTTCTTTATTCTGCTAGCAGTAATTGTAAGGAAGAAGATATTCCTAAAGCATGATAATTTAGAGAGATTTGCTTGAAGTGAAAGGTGACAAAATATTAGGAAAGGGGACCTTTGGGAGTTGCTATAAGGGCAAAAATAAAGATATAAACGTTTGTTTAAAATTTTTAAATGAAAAACATTTTCTGAGATCCAACCTAATTAATGAACTAAAAGCCATGTTAAACCTTATTCCTCACTCTAGTTTGCCCCTATTTGCTATTTGGGATTTTCTTAGAACAAGATCCTATTTTAATAACCCAATTTATTGGTTTTAAGAAAGTGTAACTTTAGACAGCTTTTCCAGGAGACTTAAAACAATGAAATTGTCACAGTCCTGTTCACCAGATCATCTGTTTCTGACATTGATTGAGAGTGACAATGCAATTCGCCTTTCGGGTTCTATTCATAATGACTTGAAGCCTAATAATATAATGGTGGAAGAAAGAGGCATTCATTATAATGCTGTGGTCATTGACCTTGGAAAAGCATGCCCACTTCACAACGGAAAATTTTACAAGTTATCAAATAAAGTTGAAAAGCAGAAAGATTTAGAAAGGTATCCTCATTTGGCACCTGAACTAGTTGCTGGTGATTCACCACAAAGTGAATCAACTGATATTTATTCACTAGGTCATACAAAAAACGAAGTTTTAAGTGAAAAATTTGGTGAGAGTGTTCACCACATTAAAGAAATTTCGTTAAGCTGTATGAGCAGACAGCCTTACAATACACCAGGACTTAATTATTTTATTGACACTTGTCACGAAAAACAGCATGTTGTTTGTAGGCTACAAAGAGCCAGTTATTTACTATAACTTAAAGTAGAGTTAGTCTTTCATAAGGTAGAATCTATGTTATGTCTGAAGTTGTGCCTGGTTTATGAATTGGAAATATGTTATTTTTGTAAATATAAATTTGCAACATCCTGAATGAGTTATTGGAAGTTAAAAAAATTAAACCAATTTTACGTGGATCATGATTGTTTTGTTTGGTCTGTTTTAACACTTAGTGGGAACCTGATGTTGAGCAAGGGCTTGCAAAGGGTGACCTCTCACCAGAACAGCAAAATTCCCTGGTTCGCCAGCTATGCACTACTATCATGGCTCAGACAGAAGTCTTACGATTTAGTGAGAGGGAGCATATTGCCATGCTGCTGGTCAACCAGTACCCGTTTCTTAAGGGGTCATTTGGTGCGGGCCATGTAAGTATTGTTATTAAAAATTATTGGTCCCTTTATTGGCAGGAGTAAATTGGAATTCATCTATTTCACAGAGACACATGTTTAATATAAACAGCCATTCTTGCTACAGTGTAAAGAATGATGAGAACTTTACACAAGAAAAACATGGTCCGGTAAACTAGTATCGGGCTCCTATAGGGCATATGGAAGAACTTAGTCCCCAATCCTTATAGTATAATAATATTCTCCTCCAAGGAGATGTTCTACAACTCATACAATTTGTATGATATTATCCTTTACCTGGTTTAAGTTCAACAACAGTTGCAGTACAAAACTGACCAAAATTCTACAGTTCAGAACTGCAAGGTAACAATTACATGTACATGGGGGGTAATATTTTTTGGGAGGGTAAAGGCAATAGACCCTTTCTGTATTGCTGGTACATTGGAGGACAATATCCTTTGCTTTACTTTGCTTTCCAACTGTTAATTTTTTTTTGGAGCAGTGTTAAATGCACTGAGATATTCTGCAGTTTCCAACAGTTTATATCACAGTTATGATAACATATTGAGAATAGATACGTCATATAATATTATCAGATTATGACTAAGTTTCCTCTTGAAATTTTCAACCTTCCACTCTGGCAAATTTGGTCAAAAAAGATTATGAGTCGGATGGCCAATGTATTGAAACGTGCATCAAGACAAGCCAAAAAAAAAAATGTATCAATCTGTGGGTGAGACAGAGGGTGCTCTAAAGGGAAAAGCAAGCGTTGTCCCTGGAATTCCTGAAGGGGAGACAATTGATACCCTGGAGGAGCAGAAACAACAACTGCAAGAAAAGGATCACCAGACCTCAGTACTCTTCATATGCTGATGGATACCACTTTTCCTTTAAGGAGACGAGATGTATTACTTAACAATGTGTAACCAAGCTCGATAATTAGCTCACAAACCATTTTCTTTTCGGTATTATTTTTGCGGTTCCGTTTATCGTTTTCTCACGGTACGCGTTCCTTTAGTTCTGCTTTGTGGTTAGCCGTGTTTTATCTAGCTCTGTGATTTCTCCGCCGTTACACCTTTAAACAGGAAAGAAATTAATTGATTTTAGCTCGCTTTAATTTGCCACCATTGCTGTAATTAACCGCGAAACTCTCCATTTGTTTCCTCCCATTGTATTAACAGAACACCTATGTATTCTGCAGTAAAGCGATAATAGTGTTTTACAAACAGGCGTATTGCCAAAAGGAAGATTTCACTGTTTTGTGGCTTACCAGCTATAGTTGTCCAATTGTATGGCTAATAACAAGATGCGAGCTGTTTGTGTTCAGCGCGATATAAATACGCCTGCACGTAGCGTTTCTACGCATTAGTACAGTTCCAGTTGCCGCGTTCACTAGTCAAGCCGTAGGACATAGTTTTCTAGAGTTCTCCCCTCGCTGGAGTGGGTAAGTGTTCTCCTTTTGCTGTTATTCCTAGGATGTTCTTCGTTCTCCTCCGAGGTCATCGTGTTTATGAAACCTCCAGCGACCGTAGTATTACTTCCCTGTTGTAAATTTCATCGTTTCTTGGTTTTGTTGTTTTCCGCTGTTGCATCGAGCACTTTCGCTCCGAAATCATCGTCCTTTAGTTTCTTAGCCGTTGTTATTCCTTTAGCTTAGTGTTTTGCTTAGTTTTGCTACCGTTTTGCGCGAGATCATAGATCACAACCTTTCAGTCTGACCTCGTTTAGCGTGTGTTTTCTTGTCTTCGTATCATATGACTCTAGACAAGAGTCACGTGCTATTTGTCACGCTTGTTCTTCTTTCATGACCTAGCATGTTTCTTAGCGTGTTTGGTTTACTTTTTACATTTTAGGTTAGTTTCATTCTCTTAGTTGTATTGTTTAGCCGTCTTTAGTCTTAGTTGTATTGTTTAGCGTCATTGTTTCTTTTTAGCACTGTTGGCCTTTTCATCGCCCCTTTTCTCTCCCTTTTTGTTGCTTTATTCGTTTTCCTAGTATTTGTTCTTATTGTATTTCTTTTCCACTAATTGGCCATTAAATTCTTGTTTGTTTTGTACGCATTTTGTCTTTCATTGGTTGTCATTCGCTACCTCCCCTACTCTCGCAGCTCGGTCACAAATGTAACAGTGTGGAAACTTCTAAAAGAGTATCGTCCTTTAGAGAATGGCAATGGAAGTGAGGTGAGTGTTTCCTTGGTAATGGTTTAACTCTACAGCAGAGAATTATGTGTGTAAACTAAAATTGTACAATACAGCTGTAACTGTTTTATGTGTGACACATATATGTACATGTTAGTTATCGTAATAGCACGTAAGTATGTTTAAGCATGTGATAGCCTAGCCATAAGTGAAAAAATGTTCACTTGTACAGGTGCAGAGCAGTGCAGCGAATGGTCTCTTGCTCTTTTTGATACAAACATACTAAAGTGGAGACACGATAATGTTGAAGGAGAAATTATTTCTCATAATTATGATATTCTTAAGTCATACTAGTTACTATATTGTTATAGGGTACAACTGCAAGCTGAAAAGACAAGTAACAAGAGGCCTTATTTAACAGCTCCTCTAAATCCGTTTTTGTATCTTTAGGTTACTGTCAATGTGAATTGCATTGCACTGTATCCCTTTATAGATAAACACATTAACTGGGGTGTTATTTTTCAGACACGATCAGAACTGCAAAGAATTTTGGGTGAGGAAAACTGCCGCAAGGGCATGAAAACTGTACTCCTTGATACATGGAAGCAAAAGCTTTTGAAGCTTCTTAAACAGTCCAGCGCAAAAGAAGTGCAAAACGTGCTACGCATTATTGACGACAATGATTCAGAGGATGAAAAAGGTAACTCTAGAACTGGTGTATAAAAGATATAATACGCACCTTTACAAAGTTTTGAAAAACCAGTAGGGCAAACGTGAGGGGTATGTTAGAGCCATCTAAATTTAGCCTTAAGCCCTGTTGGGGTGCAGCTGTATTTATAAATAAATTTTTTGTTTTCAGAAATTGAAAACCGTTGCATCATTGCAGCATTGCCCCACTTATTAGGAGAAAAAAAAACTGCAAAACATTATCCAGGTGTTCAATTCCGGACATTTGTGGCCGTAAGTTTATAAAATTAATATGTTTCTGCATTGCTGACAATAAACTGTGCCAGTTATGTATGTGTTGCAGGTCAAACTTGAGTTCAGGTTAATTTTGATTTAACCTAGGTTGACTCTCATGTCCTTTGTTTCCTAGCCCTAATTCATATATGTCTAAAGTAGCTTTATTTACCAACTTTCTCCCTTTTAGTCCTTATCTATTGGCATATACCATATTCATGCTATCTGTTTATTTATGGCTTGGTGATTATGTTAAACGTGCAACAAAATTTACTCAGTAAACAGTCTCTCCACTACCCACCTAGATTAGCTCTAGCTATTTTGCGGGCTATTGTTAGTTAGTGTTGGATACTTTGCATAATCTCTCAATAAACTTTTGAACTTTGAACTTTGAATTGCGGGTTCAGTAAAATCACGGCAAATGGATGAAGGAATTCCAGGAGAAATCGATTTTGGTTCCGGTTTGCACTGGCTCGAGTTATCCTGACGCGACTGTATCCTGAAAAAATGAAAAGCATTTGCTTTATAAGGAATGACTAGGATTTACAATTTCATGAAATCATTTTTTTTTTTTTCACAGAATGATTCAGATGTGAATGCAGAAAACGAGATACATACAACAACAGCGCCCCGTCTCATTTCAACGGGGGCAACAATTGATGATGTTCAATCATTGGTGTTGGCAGCGGAAGGAATTGTTGTCTGTCGTTTTAAAAAAATCAATATTTTGAGTGCAGTTGTCACCTTACTTGCTAGTTATTGTGTCTTCAATGCCGACTATCCTAAAGATCATGGTGGTCATAGCAAGAATGGGTATTTATTTCTTGAGTACATTTTGTTGCAAAGGAGCAGACATGCACTGCCGATAAATGTTGAAGCAGTGGTAGGCAAGTTGAAATAGAATGGCAAAGAAACCACTCCTTTTAAGGTGGCTTGATACAGTTTTTCTGGGTCAATACAACTGCAGTGGCAATTTTTCCAAATCTTTGTTTATGACGACCTAGTTTATGCTCAAACCTGGGAGGTAATGACCCTTAACAACTGTATTGAGCCACGTTAATGTAAACAGCTTGAAATTTAGTTTGAAATGACTGATTTTAGCAAGCCTGCTCCAAGCATTAGGATCATAGAAGGCAAGAAGTGAAGAGCAGAGTGAGAAAAAAAAAGGAAATACGGGAAAGGATGTTCCCGGCCTCCTACTTTCTGGACTTTGCTGCTCCCCACCATCTGAATTCCGGGAAACAATTTCACCAATACCCTGGCGCCAATAAAACTGGTTTTCGACAGAAAAACGACATGCCATTTTAGCTAGTAAAAGAAATGGTGAGGTAGCTTGCGGGTACAGGGAGAGGGAATTTAAAATTCTTGTTTCCATAACCTAAGTGTAATGAAAGTAAAAAAATAACTGCGAAAAAAAAAATTGAGAAACTGGTACCAACCACCGATAACATGGTCTAGACAATTAAAAGCCCATTCATACCAGCGACATGAAATTGAATGACGGTTTCTGGAAGGACGTACTCGCCACGCACTACAACTCGACTACTTTTCGAAAATGAAAAGCTTTCTCACCAACGTCATATCACCCTTTTCATTTTGCTTATGTACTCTTTGTTTCCGAACATAGAATGACAACTGGAATACAAAATGTTAAAAAATTTTTGGGTCCTATTTATGACGTTTAAATGTCTTTTCCGCAAGTTTTTCCTGGGTGCTTTAGATGATGTGTAAACATCTTTTCAGCAGTTCTTCCCGTTGGGTTTAGATTATTGGAAACATTGAGTCTATGCCACTCAAGAAAATGTATATCGACGGTAATCAGTGATTAAGGAAAAAAATGTAACAATTTTCCCTTTCTTTGTTGTGTTGCCTTCCGCAGTTCTTCTTTTCAAATGATCCAATGGTTTAAAAACATAGTTACTTAAGGGTAGCGGGTGGTCCGAGTCTTTGAGGTTTCGAACGAAATCCAGGGAAATCAGTCTAAAATGTGTAAAGGAGTAAGGCTCCTTAGCCTTAGAGAATGGATCGAGCAGGACGAAATACTAATACAAAAGTTACAAACACTTGGACTAGGGCAGAGCATCGACAAAGACATATATCATCTGCGCCAGCTATTTGTTGACCGCGTCCAAAGCAATGACTTCTACCAAATGTTAATAGGAACTCCACTTCTCGATTTGAACACTGAAATGGAAAGATTTAGAGAAGAAGGCACATTTTGTGGAGAAGTAGGCGACTTAGTGATCAAGGTGTGCTCTGACATTCTCTGCGTGCCAATAATGCTAGTCACCAACATTGCTGGCACTCCATACCTTCCCTTCATACCGGATGAAAGTGTGACGGACCAGCCCTTATTTGTAGCCTTTATGGCCTTGGGGCCAGGTCATTACGATGCAACAAACAAAGTACAAAATGAAAAAGGTAATCCTTGTAGTCAAACTTCTACTTAGCCAGCTATGGGACTGGTAAAAAAAATTAAAGTGGTGAATGTTAATGGCCAGAACTTTTTTAAATGACATGATAACCTCAGCCATGTCTTTATAGTAAGTCCCTAAACGCAAAGGAGACAAGCTAGCAATTCAAATATACCAGTTGTGTAAATATGTAGAATGGAAACTCATATCAAGAACATTTTGAAAATCACTCCTATGCAAAAATTAATATGGAAGTGACTGATGAGATTGTGGACAATCCCTTTTTAACCAAGTGGTATGGGACATTAGAGAACACGGTGTGTTCACTATTAACAGAACAAAAACCAAAATGCTGCTGGGGAGAAAACTATCACAGCAAAGAAAACCTTCCGCCTGCAAGAGAAAGGTAAACATCTTCTACTCAGCTGCATTGAGACATAATACGAAGCATTTTTTGATAATCCCTAGTTTTATATCTCTTGGTTACACTGTAGGCTGATTTTAGCAGGCTATTCCTTTTTCAGTATGTTCTGCTATTTTTTAATCAAAACGTTGTTTTGATCACCAAAATGTCTCTTGAAAACATCTTTGAAAAGAAAATATTTAAGGTAATATATCAAACATGAGACAGTGTTTGATCACAGATCAATCACTGAGAAGAGAGTTGAAAATATGACTTGCAGCGGAGTATTTTTGGGAATACAAGTACACTTTAGTTTCTGAACCATGCTATACAAATAAGTTAAAGAAAAGGGCTGAGATGTAACTCGATAAACACTGCAACCACACAAAATAAAGTTCTTGAATTTTGGGTACGCAGAAAATGCTTTGACTTGCATCAGACAAAGAACTGTGGTTGAAAGAGAGTCTTTAATGTTGAAACCAAATCAAAATAATATATGCCCCTCTTTTAGGATGTGCTTTTGACACTGAAAGGGGTGATGAATGGTCTTTGCCAGCATTTGCGAGCACAAGCAGAGATAAAAAATTGGCCTTGCGAGCAGTTAAAAAAATAATAATTTAAGGGACCATTCATCACCCCAACTGAAAATTACAACATTGTTCTTAAACCAGAAAGATAACAGTAAATGTCTTAGGAAACTTGTTTGAACAGAAACTGTAAATTACTGAACCACCTTTCTTTGTTTTGTGTGGAACTTGTACAGTAGTAGTATCAACCCCAAAAGGTGTTTAATGTATGTCTCTGAATCTCCATTTTTCACTGATCAATGTTTGATGGAACTAGTTAAAAGAGATACAACAGTATGCTGTATCCTGTGGACAGTGTTTGATATAACAAGATAATATGATACTTTTCCCTATGTGCAGGCAAATGCTGCTAACTCTGGAGATTCCAATGCTACAAAGGTGACTAAAATATTTCTGGTCTCTAAGTCTCTTAATCCTCTTAAAAAGTGCATATGAACATTGTAAATCATTTTGTGTAATACAGGTGAACTTCTTTTGATGGCCACCTCTCAAATTCCTACAATGCTAAATAATTTGTTTTTCTCGCAGTCAATAGTCATAAAAAAAATTAATGCACTCCTTTAGAATAACCAGCTCTCTACAACGGCAATTGCCGATGCAATAGGCTACCTTCCATATATTAAAATTTAGCATGATAAGGACACAAACAAAGAAAATGAATAAACATGTTTATTCATTTACTTTGTATGTTTGTGCATTTTTTTGTTTGTGTCCTCTAAGAGTCATTATCATGCTGAATTTTAATATACCAAAAGTGGCCTATTGCATCCCAACTGCCAAAACAATCTGTCCACAATGGCCTTTTTATAAGGAAGCAAAGTACAAAGCGAAGTACAAAATTAACATATTCACTGTACATTACTTACCTTCTTTAGTTAACATTTCTATTGAATCTTTGGTTTATATTGTATTGCTATATTTCAAATGTGGTACACCATAATATTATTAAAATAATAAGCATGTTTTATACAGTGGAAGTTCTCGTGAAAAAAAGTGTCGTAACTGGAGCTGACTGCTTACGAGAATATTATTGTTCTGTTCCACTAGTGGAATGACATATCATAATTATATCTTTATTAACATTATACTTGCACATCATTGTTGGGAACACATGTTTATTTCTTTAGAAAGCTAAGACAAATGTTGAAGAAGGCAGTGGAGAAGATGTGATTGACGTAATGAATTTTCATTCCACTTGTAGTTATGAAACTCGTTTTTCAGGACTGTGCTCCAGTCGTCTATAGCAATAATTTTTTCTGTGCCCTTTGACAACCAGAAGATCTTAGCCCTTGAACAAAACAAATAAGCTAGGCACTCTGCGTTTCAAAGGTCTAGAGATTTTCGTCTTCAAGCCATTTTATTAGAGCACAGCATTGGTTGTCTATTATGCAGTCAAAGTTTATAGTGATTCTTAATGGGTACTGAGAGCCGAAGTATCTACATTGGAAGAAGGAAAAGATGAAGACTCAGAGTCTGACCAAGAGGTAAATTTCCTTTCATCTTGCAGCAGAGGAACTTACTAGTCAATGCTGTATTACACTAATTTCTAATCCTAGCCTACATGTAGTAATATGTCTTGCAATGTCATGCTTTGCCATTAGAATTCTGATGCCTGTGAGGTCTGGTTTAAACATGTTGTACTATATATGTGCCAAATCTAATGAAGATAGACACAGTTCCTCAATTAGCACTGACAGGTAATGAAATGCATCGCCTACTTTTTCCCCTAAACTGAAGTAGTACAGTGGAACCTCAATAAATGAACCACTATTTGATGAAGTCCTCAGTATAACAAACAATTTTCTTCGCCCCAATAACATATATGAAAAAGAAGAAAGAACCTCATCATAGAAAGCATATTTTGCCAGTCCCTTGGCCCCTTGTTATATGGAGGTTCCACTGTACAGGGGAGATTATATCAAGCTCCTTATTGAAAAAATCAGTCGCTCTACGAGACGAGCCAAATACATCAATTTTTTTTAGAGCCCCTGGGTACAAGAGAATAACAATAAATTTTGCTCATTAGCATTAGATTCAGCACACATGAACCTTGACTTTTTAACTGGTTCATACTTTACAGGCAGAGGGCAAAACCAAGAATAAAAGAAATAGTCCTTTATCCCGATATGAGCGGAAAAAATTAAAGCGGGTGGAGGAAAACAACCTGATGTTATTGAAACAAAACATAGTAAGCTATTACAATAGCCCAAGGGCGTGGGCCATAAATCAACAGGAAAAAACGAGAAATGGTAACTTACAGTACGGACTACGAAGAACAAGGTCCGTAAGGTATTATTATGTCTCTGAATTTCATAGGGCGCGCAGGAAGGAAGCGTTAAGATTTAGTGAGCCATATTGTTTTGTACTGAGAGTTGAAATAATGAATTTCATATAATGAACTGCAAGGGGAAGAATAGCCTGGGACCAGGCTCCTTGGTAGGAAAAAAACGGCAAAAAATGGGGTGAAAAGGAGTGCAAAAACAATTGGCAAGCGAACGAAGCGAGCCAAGTGGGGGACTAGCGACAGGGAAAGGACGCCGTCTCTTTCCCTCCCAAGTCACCCGCTCGGCTCGCTTGGCTCGCTTTTTTACGCTTTCCATCCTGTTTTTTGCTTTTTATCCCACCAAGGAGCCTGGTCCTAGGCTAGGTGAAAAATTAAACAGAAAGGAGATAGAAGCAACCTATGCAGCGGAAAAAAAATCCTGAAAAAAAATTCAGGCTTATACAGGATGCAAATATTTTACCTATGCAATTAGTGCTGCACCAGTATCAGTCAATGGTTCAAATCCTGTAACAGCCAGAATTATTTCAGCCCTTCTCTTGTTGCATCTGTACCCGCAAAGATCTTCTTTGCATTTAAAATAATATTAATCTCAACATGCAGTCTACATTTGGGGTAATATGCAATGTTACCAGCTCAAAGAATTTTGGCGGGAAACATATCTATTGTTACTGCCATGAAACCTCAAAATAACAATGAATTGTGCTCCGTTGAGGACAACAGTCCGGCTATACAACAAGGATACTTATACCATGTATTGTTCACTAATTAACTGATGGATATATGTACATTACATGCTGACATGCATGCCTTCTTTTGCTTTCTTTCAGATTTCTCATACCTTTGCGTCAATAACCGCCTTGTTTTTCCTTACTGTGAAAAAGCTTAGTGATGTCACTGTCATGAGTGTTAAAAAGGCCCTTACACAATTGGGTGTGACTGTCCCTAAATTACAGTCATATGGCAAAGAATCATTAGTGATACTACTAGGTAAAGAACTTTTTGGCAAGGGTAAAGTCAGGAGAAAGGATGAAACCAAAGTGATTGCCAAAGATAACCTAGTACTTGCTGAGTAATCCATTTTTTAGGAAGTAATAAATTATAGTTATATTTTGTTCGTGATTTTTTCAAAGAATTAAGTTGACTTTTAGGAGGAAACATGAAATAGAATTGAGGATTCACTGTACACACATATGTAGAGTGATTGTAATAAACCCGTGAAACAGTATCAAACAAAAAGTGCCAAATGAGTATAGTGAACAGAAGAATTTAATGGAACTATAGTTTCGCAGTGTGTGGTAATCTGTCTATTTCACGGGTTATGTAAAATCCCTCTAAAGGATTGCAAAATATTTATAAACATAATATGTCAACATGAAAACAATCAGATTTGTATGAGCATATTATTGGAGTAGGTTTATTACATGTGGCTATTTGATAATTACTTACTTACTTAAAAGATGATTTATTTTAAATCTGCTATATAGTACTATTCTCATGAAACAACAAGGTTTTATTATTGGAGTACTGGTAATCAAATTCATGTATTTTTCATACCTTTTTAAGAATTATTTCTCCTAGATTAAATTATAGTTTTGACTGTTTTCTTGTTCCAAACTGTTTTTACAGTCTTAATGAAAAAAAACCGCAATAACTATTATTCGCTATTACTAAACTTAACTATACGTTATACTTTATCAGGCAGCTGTAGCAACAGTTGAGATTCTATTGAAAGGACATGTAATATAGACATTATTTTTACACGGATTTATATTGGCAAGAAAATTATATACATTTACTCTTATCATATGAACTCCTTTTTGACATTTTTCTGCTTTATTTGTGGTCATTTTACTAACATTTTATGCAAAGTTTTATTTACTTTTTATAGAGATTTTATTAATATTTCACACTATCCATTGTTGACACGTCCCATTTTACGTGCTTTTGCGTGTACAGAGAAAACATTAACATTTTGCTCAGATTTTGAACAATCAAACATTTACATTTTACAAACATTTCATGTACTTTACCTTAAGATTTTGTGTAGTTCTTTTGGCATACATTTTACAGACATGTCATGCACTTTTTTTTTGCTCACTTTTTACAGAGATAACATGGAGATTTTATGTCTACGGGTTTACAGAGATTTTTTTCTCCTGTAATTTTTACAGAGAAAGTAAAGAGATTTTACAGACATTTGTTGTTTTAAGCTTAAAATCTCTGTAAATTTTAAAACAAATTTACAGATATTTTAGTAAGGTTATACATATTCGCATTTCATGCAATCATAGTGAAAATGTGTTAACATTTACAGACTTTTTACGGGGTTACAAAATCTCTGTGAATGCGCGCATTTACAGAGTTCGTAATTTACAAAGGAAATCTAGACATTTTACAGAGATTTCACTAACTTTTGTAAAGTCTGTAAACAGTTCAAGTTTTCCAGTGTAGTGTATATAGTGAAATGTTGTATACATAGTGGAGGATCAAAAATGAGTGGAAGTGGCAGTACGACAACAAAGCCTGTACCTGCTCCTCGAAGAGGGAGAAAGACAAAAGTGCCAAGCGCTTTGGATAAATTGTAGAATGTGCGGCTGTTCTTTCAAAACACAGTTCTGCAATTTACACGAGTGGATGGATAACTTCGGAAAATGTGTTTGTTGCGCCTACCAGAAAAGGAGAAACGTTACCAAAGTGGGCCAACCTAATGAAAAATGAACTTTTTGTTGTCCTCGAGGAAGGAGAATCTTTCTCCACAAGAGTTTGCTCTTCGTGCGGAACAAAGGTTAGAAACTGCCCCGGGAAACTGCGCGGCGATGCTTTCGCAAATTAGAGAAGAACTGAACACGCCAACTGACAATGAACAATTATTGCGATTGAAAAGAATGAGTAAATCCCCTCATTGAGGGGGGAGGTACAAAATAGGGAGGAGGGAAAAATTGGAGAGAAAATGTTGGGAGGAGCGAGAAAATAAAATGTTGGGAGTAGGGAGATCTGGAGAGATATCGATGAGAAGGCAATTCTTTTTATGAGGGCACGGGGAATTTGGCGTACACTGCGATCCCCTTTGGTCTCCTGGGACTCCTGGGTCTGCTGGGATGAGACTCCCTTCAGCTTGGTTGCACTTAACCAAGAAAGCGTGGAATCAAACTTTGACACATCTCAGGTTACCCGTCTTGCCAAACATCTTATCCAACCTTCTTAAGGCTCTGACCGCTGTTTATTCGCCGACCCACGTTGACACGAGTATTAAAACAAGGTACATACGTAATTAAACCTTTTATATCTCGTACATTTAGAAGTGGTGCCGGGCTGAATAGCAGCACTACAAAGCTTAAGATAATTGAATTCATATATAACCTCGAATAATGGTTAAATTGGTCTATTCCGCATGTAAAACCTTCCGAAATTTCAACATAATTTCTTTATGTTTCAAAAGACTCTCAAAAGCCCAAGAAAAATAATAAGCCTAAAGAGCTAACTGCGCTAAAACTTGACTTTTTGTAACAACCGTAAAAACCTCTTGGAAGGGCATCTGACAGCAAGAACCACTTTCTACGACTTTTAGGCATCCTGGTATATGATTATTGCAATGGATTTTGATGGAAAGGAAGAACTTCTGCTGCTTCTCTCCAAAAAGCTTGTAACCCAGGCATATGTTCTAGTGTTCAGAACCAGCGATCGCGTAAAGCCGGTTCAGACTTTTGCCATGGACCTTCGTTTCGGTAAAGACGACATCGAGAATCAACGCTTCGTAATACGCTTGCTGACTCAAGAGGGGTTAAATGAAAAGTAGAGGGAATCGGGACTTGGGTCAGTTAATGTTATTATTGGTTACAGCCAAAGATCGCCGATTGGAACCTGGTTAACTTTGTCGAGTCAATCACGACCAATTAATGGGAGATTGCTCTTCAAAAAGTTCTTGAAATAGAGCGCTCTCCTAGGCTGTATTTAACCATAAAAGTGATCGAAACTGACAGTACCCATCCGCTCTAACGTCCTAATATTGCAAAAAAACACAGACTTCGAAGAGATGAGTCAAGACCCAGCCGCAACTGTGGCAGATAAAGAAAGCAATAACAAGGGAAAAAGAAAAAGAAAAAGAGAGGAAATGGAGGAGGAGGAGGAGTTGCTCTGGGAGAAACTTAAAGGAGGGGAAGGAGTAAACAGGAGTAAGAGACAACAACAAAGGCTACAACAGTGGAAAGACACTGTAGCGAAGACCTACCAAGGCTGCCGGGCAATAAATGAAAGAAGTATTCAGCGTTCTTGCGGGAAAATATTTCCCGTTAACATGCTGAATGCTATAAATGATATCCAGAGACCACACGTTAGCAAGGGTAAACAGCGAAAGGACAGCCAGTCACTTCAGTCTAGTGAAACGAACAAAATGAAACAATTTTGGGGCAAATATTTGCAAAAGAAATAAAAATGTTTGCGCTGCGTCCGCCTCATTGTCCCTCAAATACACTCAAAAGAAATGAAACAAAAAACTAACTAATTAATAAATTATGATTTTAATTGACTAGTAGTCTCCCTCGCAGCCATTTTTCTGGACATCCAGAAAACGGCTGCAAGGGAGACAAATTGACTGGTTGCTAAAAAACTGCTGACTACAATTACTGTGATTTGTGTCTTGATGGAATTTATTGCTCGGATGGAAAATGATTGGTAAGAGCGGCACTCTGCGAACGGTAGCTTTGTAGATCTTGTGTTAACGTCAAACAGCTACAATCCTCGTCAAAAATCTTGAACCACTTGTGTGCGTTTTCCCTTCCCCAATGTTGATTTGGGCATTACAGCGGTCTCAGTGCTTCAAAATACACGTGGGTCAACATTGGGGAGGGAGAGGGCACATTACAGTGATAACAAAAGTGTGAGGAGTAAATCTCAAGAATTTTCTAGAAAATGCAAGAGAAGCGGTGTCTGTTTCAACGATTTTTGACAAGGATTGTCTTTGCCTCTGAAGGGCGTGGATGGGTAATGTCAACGTACGATGAAAAGTAACTATTCTCGCCTGCCGTGTTTACGTGATGAGTGTTCTTGTTTTGACTGTTCTAGATATGACGTAGCAGCTATATAAAGAAGCTATGCATACTTTTGAGTATAGACGATTTTAAGGTACTTTTGTGCTAGAACACTTTAGTGGTACGGGTCTGCCTATTAGCAAATTGCGATGGTGTTTAAAGGTATAATTGATAGCGTTACTCATGCACGTGCATATTATTTATGTCAGGTTAAAGGCCTATCTGTGTGAACAGTTGCGAGCATGTGCAAGATTTCTGCTGCGAGTGTTTATAGAATTCCGAGGAGACACCAGAAAGAGGTCGCCATAACAAGCTAAGTGACTGCGACAAAAGACGACTGATAAGATGCATTACAGTTTTGAGGACTCTCTCTCTTGCAGACTCGCAAAAAAGGGGCTCATGACAGCGGAAGATCACATCAAAAGGGTTAAGTTTGCAAAGTACATGAAAGCGAACTACAGCCAGGAAATTTGGAAAGAGGGAATTGCCTTATATCTGGATGGAACAGGATTTACCTACAAAAGAATTCCACTAGATCAGGCTCGTGCACCAAAAGCTTGTGTCGGGAGAAAGAAATCCGAGGGTTTATGGCTCCTGGATGCATAGCAAAGGGCCAACAAAGAGGGGACTGGGGGCAAAGTATTACGACTGATGGTGGCAATTTCTTACAATAAAGGAGTTATCTGCTGTGAACCATACGAGAAGATCAATGGATGTTATTTCGCTGCGTTTATAGATAACCATTTTGATCGCCTGTTCGCAGCTCTGACAAAGGATGTACCCAAATGTTCTTAGAAGATGGAGATCCCTTTCAAAATTCAGCTTCAGCACGGGCAGCAATGCAACGAATGAAGAGTACATTAATCAAACTGTGCCCAAGATCTCCAGATCTTGCAGTCATTGAAAATGTGTTTCCCATGGTGAGTAGGATGTTAAAAAGACAAGCATTGCAGCAACAAGTACGCCGACAAACATTTGCACAGTTT